CGCGGGAAATCCCGTAAATCTGCTGTACCCGTCTTCGTAAATCCGCGAGTTAAACCCGTATATCTTTGGCATCGATCGCGGATCCCCCTTACTGCTGCTAATTTACTCTTTTTTTTTTAAATATATATATTATTATTATTATCATTTTTTAAAAGAGCGCATAAAACTCAAGGGAGGGAGCTCCTTGACACGTTGTGTTCACGTGCATGCCTAGAGCGTCTCGATCGCGATACGCTATATATACAGTGCATGTAATTTCTCTTCATTAAAAGAAAGAAAGCAATATTCATATGAAAGCAAGGACTTTTTTCTTTGTTTGTTTGTTTCTGTTGAATGTTTTTTGTTTGTTTGTTTTGTTTGTTTTGTTTTTTCTTTTCTTTTTTCTTTTTCCTTCCATCAGGGACAATAAAATGACTCACTTGTCTGTTTCGATTTGTTGGCCTGTCTGATATACATCAAACGTCTAAACCATTTAATTAAAACACTGGTTACATCACAGGCAGCCCAAGCTCAATCTAATAAGTGTCTATCGAATTACAGTAAATGTGTGGAGTTTATGAACGATATATCATAAATTATGAACTAAAAATTCATTGGTAAATTATTTTTTTAACTCACTTGTTTGTATTGATCGCTTATGGGTCTGGGATGTGTTTGCCAATTTCATCACGAATTACAGCAATTTTCGTTTTTCCCTTAATAATTGAATAGAATTGGTTTTATGACTACTGATCATGAGCTTAATGAACCTGAGCTAGACACCGAGGTTGTTTTTTATTAATAGTTTTTAAATTAAATTTCTAATGTACCGCACTCAGCCACAGACTGATCACAATCTCGGTTTTTGGAGCTGGGTTTTTGTCTGTATGTTGCGAAAATTCGATAATTATTTCTATAAAATCGTTTAATAGCCTTGTTTTATTATCATTTTTCATCTTTGTATTATATACGTTATCCAAGTTCAATACTTACTTTAAATATTAAAAAAGATTAAAGTTATTATTATTTATATTATTTTTTATTGACATATAGTGCTCGGATGCTTAGTGCCCAAGTCGTCTAAACCTTGTACAAAGGCACTCGACCCGAGACCACCCCTGAATTAACTTCAAAACTGATTAGCTGTGCTCACTTGCAGCCCGGCGTAATCAATCGAATGATTCGGAAATCGAATTCAATCGAACGCAATCACATGCTTGGATTCGATTTCATTCGGCAATCCGCGAACGAAATCAATCGATTAAAAAATGTGCGAATTCGATTGAGTTCGATTCCAATCGAACTTAATCGAATGTACGATCGAACGTCATCAAACGAATGTTCAATTGTGTTCGATTGGCTCAAATTTGTTTTTGTGAATTCGACTTCATTCGATTCAATTGGATTCGATTGCATTCGATTGGATTTGCCAATCGAGCGTTCGATTTCGTTCGATTGATTACGCCGGGATACAGTGCCCCGTACTCTTAACCACCAACAGAGTGCACACGCTTATCTTCCTTCTGTCTTATATTAGCGCCCCTTTAGAAGTACGTGTTAGCCTTGACATTAAAGCTTTACTTTTGCTAAAAATTTAAATAAACTAGCTCCTCATTTCCATCATCTATTTATCTTCTTCGTCTGGAAGTACTTCTACTTCAAAATTGATTCATCTTCAACTGTCGCTTCATCTTCGCCAGTAATCGGTTCAACCCAAAATTCTTTATCTCTGGCATCACCGGCATCACCGGCATCACCGGCTTTAGTTTTTCTAAATTTCTGGTACGCAACACCGACTTCACCAGGCAGGTTAGGGCTGTCAAGTACTTGCCATGGATACAGATCAGCAACTGGCATTCGGAAGTTTAGTGACGTAAAATACTGGTACCTATGCCAGTCACTCTTGCTCTGCCACTGGTCCCATATCTTGTCCATGAAGGCGTGATGAAGCAGGACTTCGGGAGTGTGACCAGATTTTCTATTGTCAGGCATGTCACCTCCGATGCAGTCGTGGAATGCGCTATGAAGCTCTTCTCGGACAGTTTCTTCAAAGTGCTTAAAGGTTTTTGAACGCAATAGCTTTTGGAGTTTTTTCTCGGTGTACAAGGGGCACTTTTTGTCGAAATTTCGCTTCAAGCATCCTCTACCTTTGCTAACTGGCAAATGCCAATTCCCTTCCCTAAACTTTCCATCCTGGACGCAGTAAGACGGTGGAACACCGTTGCCCCCAAGTCCTTGCGGACCTCCACTCCACACATCTTTTGGATTAGTACTTCTCCAGACGTTCTTTCCTGCTGCAGTCCATTGGTAGTAAGGTATAGTAACTCGGCAATCAATTTGTTGAAGAAAGTTCTCGGCTTGTAGCAAAAACCATCGATGCCAAGGAAAGAATATCTGCGGCATGTGGTGTAGAAAATCGGAAGGTAATTCTGAGTGGGAAAACAATATCTTTTGGAAGTCGTCTCTGAGGAATGGGTCTGTTGTTGCTTTGTAATATACATTAACGAACCGACGACGTTCCTCAAAGCTCATTTGGGTGAACTCCTTGCGAACCCGAAAACAATTGGTGTAAAATCCCGCATTGCAATCGCATCGACGTCCACAATGATCGTAGACTGTTCCCTTTCCTTTACAGGATTTCTGCGAACCTTTTACGTAAACAGAAATACAGGAAATTAATTTAAAAGATGAAGCTTAATGTTTATGTTGATAGTGTATAGTTACCTCATAATATCAGTTCTTATTACCTCTACCTCTACCTCTACCTCTACCTCTACCTCTACCTCTACCTCTACCTCTACCTCATCCTTAACTTCCTGTAGCCCGCACTGACCTTGGGCTCTGCTCTATTGCTTCTACATAATTATTACCTTGATCGAAGTTATCATAGTTAATATTTGGGCAAATCTTTGTCGTTTGGCTCATGACGAGTGTGGTTCGCAGGAGCTCTCGGAATTGATCAATATAATTGGACTGGCATCTTGGTGTAGCCATGCAATTAGCACAGGACTGTGGAAAGGAGAAAAGATTCTCAGTGGTGATATATAGTAGAGATCTGAGTCTTTTAAATTTACGCACTGAATAAAAGAATGTGTTAATGGCTACATCAATGAAAAGGAGAGAGATACAAGGATGAAATAAACAGACAGACAGACAGACGGACAGACAGACAGACGGACAGACAGACAGACGGACGGACAGACAGACAGACAGACGGACAGACAGACAGACAGACTCTTGTACCTGTAAATTCTTGCAGAATTTTTCTGTGGCTTTTTTGTTGTCGAATTTATAAAAGTCAATGTTGCATTTGCATTCCCGATGCATATGTCTTGCGCAAGCCTGATCGTCCACTACACCACAACTAGCAATAGGCATGCATATGAACACCAAGACACTAACAGCCAATAGGAAGGTGGAAAACATTCTACGTCATCCGCCCTAAAAGAACAATAACATTTCTATAACAATATACTCAATACTATCTATTCCTTAGATCCTTTTTTGTTTTTCTTTTAAATTTTCCTCTTTTTC